AAAAAAACGGCAAGTGAAGACTTGTTGGCATCCGATCACAATGATGATGATGATGATGCATTTTCAATTGAAATTGAAGATTGAGTTCAAAATGGATGTTAGAAATTTGGATTAGAAGTCTCTTTGGTGTTTAAAGTTTGAATTAGTGAACTATGGTTGTGAACTTTGCATTATAATAGTAGTGGATTATGTTGATAACTTGAATAGTTGGTGGAGTATTAATGAAATGCTATATTTTTTATGAGTGTATGACTTTTTTTCAAAGGTATATATATTTTTTTATTATTTATTTAAAATTGCATCGTATCTTACGATACACGATACGATACAATATTTGTATCTTACGATACGCCTTCCGATACACGATTTGATAACTATGATTATTGCTGCTTCTTTCAAGCTCGTTTCCAACTTCATTGGGGTCATCACAATTTTAGGACCTAAAAGGCACACAACAAGCAATTAAAGTGAAGAAAGTAAATTCATCAAAGCAACAATAAAGAGAAAATGTTGTACCACCTCTTTTTTTTCGAAGACTTCTCATGTGATGGAGTCTCGGAGGCGGGTTGAATAGGACTACTTAAATTTTTTTACAGTTCTAGTCCTAATTATCAACTTTCAGCAACTCCCAGATTCAAAGCTAGGGTGCTTACCTAACTCAAACACCATTACTCACTAAATACTTAATTTTCTTATATTAATCAAGTGTAATACTAATCGACGTGGCTTTCCTGCAGAACCATCCTTGTGTCTATTTTAATGTTGTTTTGTTTTTGATATTCAATTTCACCATTGGACCAATTTCCTATTGTTTGTGTGAGATACAAAATGCATGATAGAGATCATTTGAGGTAATAAGTTCAAACAATTAGCACATAATGGTCATATCACGTTAGCATTAATATGCGGTATCACTATTCAATAATAAATTACTAAGTGGATAAAGTGAACCCTATTTTCTTATGTGTGTATAGTTATTATCTTACATGAAGAGAGAATTGGTAGTTATTCTGTTATATAGAGGGGTAGATATTAATTTGTGTGAGGTACTGAGGTCCACTTACCTATTTTTGAATACATTATTTGATGGTGATATCACATAACAATATTGACGTGATATCATTGTTACATTGAATCTTTTGTTTAGATAACTGGGGGCCCAAAAACTAGGGCTAAAATCCCCCAAAATATAGGGCCAAAAACTA